GTGCCTTGCAGTACCTTTGGGAGAAGGGCTTTTATTTGTGGAGTGATCATTATTATAACAAAGAAGAGCTACCTAATAATTTCCACTTTAACTCTGCAATATGCCACGAGCGTTTCTGAACCATTATGCTAAACTGTGGCGGGGTAATCATTTTATTGTCACAGTTTGAGGGAAGAAGAATCCCTGTGTATCAGTAGCTGGGAAGTGTGGGAACACAAGAACACACCGGCACACACAGCACACAACAAAAACTTTTCCTTTTTTTGCTCCCTGTGTGCTGGAGTGGGTACCTACCATCCTTTGTGTGGGAGGTGATAAGATTCTAACAATGTGTACATTGAGAAAAATGAAGATTTCATAAGAACGTTGTTTTCCTTGGAGCCATTAAGGTTTTTGCTCATAAATCCTAAAAATTTATTGCTAGATCCCTTAGCTTTGAAGTCAGTGGTAGGATTCCCAATGGCCTCAGTGAGTTTGGGATTGCAGAACCTCCTCTGCCACCTCTGTCTGTGAGCCTCGTGCGCAGCATGGTGGGACCTGTCACAGGTGGGCTCTGACTTGCCCTGGTGTTGTGCAAAGGAGGAGAGCAGCTCAAGGCTCCCAACCTTTAGCCCATTTCAGCAGGTGGAGGATGTGGCCACATCACCTTCAGCCAGGAGCTGCAGGGTCCTGCTGCAGCTGGAGGGAGATGTTTGGTTTTTTCCTCAGCCCAGCTCTTCCGAGAAAACACAATGAATGTGACACACTCACACCAAAGAGTCTGAAAATCCTATCTGATAAGCTGGGCCACTAAACTCTTTCGTTCTTATTGCTGTTAGCTTCCAGCTGTTCCTTCAACAGCAATAAGTAGAAAGTTCATATATGTAGGAATGAGCAATTACTCTTTTTTTTTTTTTTTTTTTTTTTTTTTTTTTTTTTAAAAAAAATTCCTCCCTGGACTTACAGTCTGTTCATGTTATCAATCATGTACACTTCACTGCCTTTACTAGGATCGGTGTAAAGTCCTTCGCTGTATTTTGTTACCAGGGAAGCTTCAGACTTGGACTAAAAACTCTTTTTCTACAGAAAAAGCTAAATTTTATGTAACTTTTTTTTCTATTTGTTTTAAAAACACCATTTCAGAAATTATGCCTTGGAGTTACAGAAGGGCATGAGAACTGATAATATTTTGAAACAAAATATTTTGTTTTTCTTGGAGGTATTGAAAAAAGTTAATTCTAGGTAGAGGTTCTGGAACTTGGCATTCTGAAAAAAAAAAAAAAAAGTTTCTATATTTTGGTTTGTCTTCTGACCAAAACAAAATGTAGAAAAATCAAGGCCTCCAGTGAAAAGATTATTCTGCCTAGCTCTGTTTTCCTAGGGTTGCACAGAAGTAAACACCTTCCAGACAGTGCTTTGAAAGTTGCCAAGTGATTAAAAGCAGAAGTATGAAGAGCTGAGGGCCTGAGCTGGCCAGACATTTGTAGCAGGAGCATAAATAGAGCTGAGGTCATCGCCTTGCCCCCTCCCAGTGCTACCTGTGCTGATGCTGCCAACAGGAGCCAGTTCCATCCTCCTTGGTGCTCAAAGCAAAGGGCCTGGGAAGGGCAAAGTTTGAGACAGACCATTGTCCTGAATGCTGCTGGTTATTGCAAATATGTCATTGTATAAACATGGTTTGTGCCCTCAAAAACAGGTAGCAGTCTGGATGCCTCTCTCAGCACGTCTTCCTTGGGATGCAGCCCTTCAGGGCCACTTCTCTGGCTGGGCAGCACCTCCTGCAGCCCTTCCAACTTCTGCAGACACTTGCACTTTAAAATAAGGGAAGTTGTGTGGGGAAAGTTGGGGAGTCCCTCTGGTTTTTGTGACATGGGAGAATAATGAAATCTTTTGGGAAGGCGCAGTGCTCTTGCTCCATCTCAGGTTGGGCCTGCAAAAGGCATCATCCTGCCCTGGTGATTAAACCACCAAGTCCTGACTTTTTATCCTCAGAGGAGATGTTCTGGACTATTGCCAGCAGGTTTGATGAGGCACTGATTCAGCACAATTTCTACATATTTAAATAAAGTGACATGTGCTGTTGGTCACAGTGGCTTTGCAGGTGAGAGTGTCCCAGTGAAGAACTGACAGCCCCAGCTCAGCACAGAGCCCTGAGTGTCTGCCTCAATCCCCCTGGCTCCATGGATGGGGCTTGGCACGTGTTTAATATGAAGCAAATACATTTATAAAATATTAGAATCAAATCCATGAGGCAGCACAGACAGGGCAGCAACTTGAACCTCTGAGTGCAATGAAGGGAGCACAAAGAACATCACAACATAAATAGCAAGAACTTTTTTGTGGGGTCCTGTAACTGCACAAGAGTATCATGCATTCACGTTAAAGATAACTTGAATCTATAATTTTCAATTGTAGAGTCATTTATGTTGGGAAAAAACCTCTAAGATTGAGTCAAACTGTAAACCCAGCACTGCCAAGCCCACCACTGAACCATGGCCCCAAGTGCCACATCTACATGGCTTTTAAATACCTCCAGGGATGGTGACTTCCCTGGGCAGCCTCTTCTAGTGCTTGACAACCCTTTCAGCTAAGCCTGCATATGTTTTCTGTTAATGCTTATGGTCTCAAATAGTTTTTATTCACTGGTATTTAGGAAAAAAAAATGTTGCTTGTAGTCTTTAAGAAAAGTAGCTCATTCTCTGACACATGGGAAACTGATTATCTCTGGGTTTTATTGTAGGGGATATGTGTCCACAATCAACTGGGAATACTGGAAAGGGTGTGATTTGGAAGTGATTTTAAATTTTATTTATGTAAAAGTTTGATTCTGTGAAAGGGCTAGATGGCATTTTGAAAAGCTGCTTTCACTGGAAATCTGTTGGTGTGAGCTTGGCTGAAGGAAAAGCATTTGCTTTTGGACATCTCAGTGGTTTTTATGCACAGTTTTATGCAAGTAATTTGAATCCAAATTAAACATATTGAAGTTACTTCTGTGTGCGCGCTACATTTTCGTGACGGTAATGTCAGGATGTTTCTTTTGTTAGCTCATGTAAAAGTTAATGGCTGTACTCTGCCAAGTTTGGAGTAGGGTAATGATTTTTTTTTTTCTGCCTGTTTGTGTTTTTGCCTGGAGCTGGCATCCCCATCAGCTTAAGTAGTGGAAAAGTTTGTCCTGACACTTGCAACCTTTTGTAGGTAGGGCTGGGGTCTGTTTGCTCCCCATCTGTGCCTGCCACCACCAGTGGTGTGAGGCTGGGGCAGTGCTCACAGAAACACTGCTCAGGGTGACTCAGCTGCTCCCTTCCCAGCTCCCTCCTGCTTCCCAGCTCCCTTCCCAGCTCCCCACCCACCCACCCTGCCCAGGGGCTGGGGGAAGGAGCTTCCCAGCAGCCACACTGGCTCTTGCAATCAGCTCCAACCAACCAGAACTTACTGAGGAATCATAAAGATGCACTGGGTCTCTTTAGCAATTTATGTCTGGAGCATTTTGAATTAGGCTTCTGTGAATGAATTAATTTCCTGTCTTTACAATTAGAAGAATTTAGGACAGGGGCTGTGCCTCATTAAGTAACTCACTATGCTGCCACACTGAGTAACTCATGAGGGTAAGGGTTTTATCCTGGATGGTGCTAACACATAGTGGCTTTAATATCACCATCTTCCTAGTAAGGCCTTACCTGAGGAAGTGCCTAAGTGCTCTTCCTTGAGTACATCATCAGATAATCAAAGTTTCAAACCAAATTAACAGCTCAATCAGCCTTTCCATCAAGTAGCAATTCACAGACAAATGCCACCAACCCTAAAATTGGGCAGTGGCACCCATTCCTGAGTTTGCAGTGCAGCCTCTTGCCTCTGCCTTCACATCTACAGGAAAGAATCATTCTTTCCAGCACTGAGGTTGGCTGGTGGAGTGATGCTGCTCCTTGAACCTGTTTTCCATGAGTAATGAAATTGTTGAGGTGCCAGCTTTACTTAAAATGTTATCTAATGTTACCAGTGCCGTATTCTCACCTCATGCAAGGAAAAGTTGGTAGCATCTAGGGTGAAATTGCTTCTTTCCATCAACCTGTGTGACCACTCTGAGGCTCCACAGTAGAGAGTTGCCCAGGGCTTGCTGACTATTTTTACAGTAAGTTATTTCTGTTGCTTCAGCACTGTTAAATTCCAAGGTGCCCCTGTGCTGCAGAGGAGGAGAATCAATGTGTGAATGTTTATACTGCCCCAGCCCACCAATATTTGAGCTGCTTCTGCTTACAAAGTCTTAAACCAGAAGCTCTTAGTCCAAGATTTGAACAGCACTTGAGTTTTCAACATCCTCTCAGAGGCTCTGAGTAGATACAATGCCAAGAAAGTGGCTGTGAGACTCCATGGATATGGCAAAATGTGTTGCACACACATCTTGTTTATCCTGTAGATGCAATACAACTGGAATGACTGGATGGAAGCTGTGGCTTTGGTTGTGGGGTGTTGTTTTTTTTTGTAGTAGCCAAAGCATTAATCAGGGCAGGATGGTTTAATACTGGACAACCTGGATCTGATTGCAGAACAGTTAGAGAATTGCTGAGGGTTACACCCTTTTTTATTTTGCCAATATTTTCCATAATGTTTATGGGAGTTTCCTTGGTGAGTTTGGGTTCTGATGGATAATAAAGTAAGCTTACTGGAGATTGTTTTATTAACTTAATTCTTGTGCATTTCATATACAATAACAAAAGGGATGCTGATTTCCAATTGGTCTCTACCCCTCATGCTGTGATTTTTTTTGTTAATGTAGAATTAAAAAACAAAAAAATTCAATGCAGATAATAAAACCAAACAGAAATTAATTAAGGAAACAAATGCTTCCAAAGATAGAGTTTGAGGTCATGCATATGTACTGTAAAGAACATGATTGCTGAAATCTTTGTGTTAGTAAGGGGGGGGAAATGAAAGCTCCTTTTATTTTATTTTTCTCACGTCTTCTATCATTAAAATCCAGTTCTAACAGCAGAATACTTCTCTTTTTCATGTGTGTTGAAAAGCAGCTACACCATGTATCAAAGCCATCAGTCCAAGTGAAGGATGGACTACAGGAGGTGCCACTGTCATCATCATAGGAGACAATTTCTTTGATGGGTTACAGGTCATATTCGGCACCATGCTGGTTTGGAGTGAGGTAGGTGTTGTCTCATAGCTAATGTCTCACAGCTTTGTCTCCTTGTAGCCAGCCTGTCCTTTCTCTGGGCCACATGCTAAATCAGCAACAAATGTCGACACACAAATCCTTGCCTCGCTCAGTTTTATGAAAATAATTAGTCAAATTTACCTGTGGCAGGAACCCATTATAGCCAGGGGGATTTGCATCTTGTGCTGGCCCAGAATTTAGCTCAGTGGGTTTTATTCCAAGGAAAATGGAGAATAAAGGCCTGTGTGAATAATTCTGTGTTTAGCACTGCAAAAGCTAAGGGCCCACAGGAAACAAACATTTAGGTGATCCCACTTTCCAGGGAAACTGGCTGCTGGTAGCTGCAGCTCAATCAGGTGGAGATTGCAGAATTCAGCACCTCTGAACAGCATATCCCTAAAGCCTGGATACTTGGTGTAAATATTATTTTCATAGCAGCAAACAAATGCACCACGTTGTATCCACAGTGGACTCATACCTAGCAGGAGCCCCTGTAGTTTCACAGGAACCCTTTCCTTGTTTCTTAACTTTTTTTTTTTTTTTTTTTTTTTTTTTTTTTTCTGCTGTTATTCCTTCCAGCTCCTTAAATTCTGTCTTTTCCCAGCACATAATTAATCATGGAACCTGACATTCCCCAAAAACCTGTGAAAAGTTAAAACCCAGGCAGCATCACCCCAAAGGCCATGACCAGGGTTGTAGAAACCATGGCAGAGTCCCCCACTGGCACAGGGAGACAGCTCCAAGGAAAGGTTTATATTTTGAAATTAGGCTTTCCAAAAGCATTTTTGAGGTTTAATAAGAAATTGTAATTTTCATTATTTTAATACTGAAAAAAACCCCAGCCTCCCTGAAATATCTGTGCAACACTTCCCAATGATGAGAGGACCTTCTGATGCTTTACCTTACATCCTGTAAATCTTAAATCAACACCACAGCTTAATTTATATCCAGCACATTCCCCCTACTGATTCAATTGCACATATGGCAGCATTTTTTCCATGTGAAGAGTATTCTCTAATGTCCTTCACTATTCTCTCTCTCTCTCTCATCCTTCCACTTGAGGACAAGTGTGGATGAAAGGGCATTCCAGAGAAGAAGAGATAGTAAATGAGCCCTATTCTGAAGCCCTTATGTGATCATGAAAGTGCCCCCTGGGCCCAGTGTAAGCATTTTGTGTGTTAGTATTGAAGCCATTATGGCTGCAGACGTTTAACAGGAAAGGTGAAGGGGCTGGGAGGAAACTGCCCTGATTCTGCTGCTGCAGAATTGGATCTTTCATTATAAATCTTGACTCTATTTATTAGTGGAAGCCATTAATTGTCAATTTCTAATCTCAGGAGACTGAGTGCTGGTCAAAACATTGTTGCTGATGGTTGCAAGGCCTTGTCATGGAATTAATAATGTTAGAGGGGGTCCAGACCGAAGCCAGTCTGTTGTGTGGGAATGCTGCAATGGGCTCTTTCACTGCCTCCCTCTTACAGAACTGCTTCTCATTTCATAGCCTATGAGAGCAGTCAAAAATCATATAGGAGAAAAGAACATTCTTTCTAAAAGAAGCAGACAAACACAGTAAACAAGTGCAGAAATGCATGAGCTGAGTGATCCCTAAATAATAGTGATCTATAAATAATTCAAATTACACATACAAGCCACCTATGAAGTACAAAATAAGTTCTTTCATTTGCCTTCCCATTTCTAAAAATGTCTAAGGAATTTTCAGTACCCAAGAAGAATATTTTTGTTTTACTTTAATAGAGTATAAAATTGAACTGTCAAACCTCTTGAACTGGAACCATTACAGAACTGGAGCAGGCTCATCCTGAGTTGCAGTAAGGCCCAGATATGAGCAAACTTGGCCAGGTTATTTTGTCATTGAATTCTGGACAAATTTTAAAGTTCATCTTGATGTTTCATGGATCCAAACAAAACATAATTTTAACTGGGTTTCAGAAAAACCCAAACAAAACCAGATAGGCAGAGACCAAAGAAAAAGAATGAGTCTTGCAGGGCATTTTCATGTGGATTTTTCCACCTTCAGTTTCAGCTATAATTGCAGGTGGTTTGGGGGATGAAGTCTAATATTGAAATTAAGCATCATTTTGCTACAGACTTTGCATGGGACCTTGGGCAAATCATATAATCTACTTAAAGTTCAATTCCCTTTCTCTAAAACAGTAATAAGATTAGTCACCTTCTTTGGAGAGGTGCTGTGAAGGTAATTATCCTAAAGGTCCTATATTACTCAGACTTTATTATAGCAAAATCCATGTAAATACCTGAGCTGCATGGATATTTAAAATATAAATCCTACCCTAATTCAGAAGTAAAGTTAAGAGTCAAAAAACCCCAAACAACTTCCTTTTAAGAGAGAATTTGTTGCTGTCAAGCAGCATGTTATAAATAATTTGAAATGTAAATAATATATTTTTAATTTATTTTACATGTATTCAAGTTTTGTAATTGAAATATTTATATGCTTGAAATGGAGTTGACTGTGTTAAAAAAGGAGGTTTGAAATGGTTTCTGAAACACATATTTATTATTTAAACATATATTTTAGCTGTAAACACTCTAACATAATTGCAACCTTTCTCAGCCAGGGAGAACTAAATAAAAACTTAATTTGTCACATTAATTTTGAGCAGAAATGCAGATACCCTAAGCCAGTAGGTTCAATTAATCCTTACCTCCCATATTACTTTAAAAGCCCTTGGTATTTTTAGAATACAGCAGAATGGGCTGTCTAATGCCTTTTTTTTTTTTTTCAAGGGACTTTCGTAACCGCCAAACAAACAGCACTGGTCTATCGTGTGCACATGCTGGGTGTGCTCAGAGCCTCCCAGCAAACATTCTGTGTGCCAGACAGGCTCTGCTGCCTGTCTGTGCCGTGCACACACACACAGAGCTGGAATTTGGGGCGTTGCACCCGGGTTCTGGGTCCCTGCGTGGTCACAAATATTCCAAATTGGTGCTGCTGATAAGAACCTTTGCTTGTTTCTCTCTCCGTCGGGTGCTGAGACTCCGAGAGTCGACTTGCAGGGCAAATACATGATTGTGAAGACAAAATTAGTTTCTTATAAATATTCCACAATATTTGCTTAAAATGAACTATTTCTTCAAACATTTTCCTGCCAAGAACATTCCTGCAGCTGTACAGAGTCAGCTGGAAACAACTTTTTCTTTTATATTAAGAAAAGATGAAGCACTGAAACATCTTTTTTTTTTTTTTTTTTTTTACCTTTGTACAGCACAAAAACAGAGGATGATTTTTTTTGTTTTTTTTTTTTTTTGGGGGGTTTTTTGTGGTTTTTTTTTTTTTTTTTTTTTTTTTACTGCTGCTGAATCAAATTCTGTGACACAGTTTGTTATTTTGCTTTTTATGTTTGTTATTGATTTTGGAAGTCTCAGGCTTTGAGTGCTTATTTTGGAGCTCTGACTCATTTTTAAAAAATGAGTAGGCACCCTCTTTTTGCAAACCAAGGCTTATTAAGCAGCATCTGGATGCCCAGAATTGAGGCATGCAAAGACATTGGTTGTTTTTTTAAAATATAGGTACCCTAAGGGTTCTGTTCTCACTGAAAGCTGTCATTACCTTCAGTTGGTGGGATTTTTCTTCATTCCTGTTCTAATGGTCCTCTTCACACAGAGTCAAAGTCAAATTTATGACTGATTGTCACCATTTCCCTAACCACAAACCAGAGCTCAAGCATGCAAAAATAAACTAGTGACTCAGATTAATGACATCTCTTTATAAAATGTCACTTTTAAAAAAAGAAAGTAACCTGGCACTCTGAAGAGTGTGAAATGATGCTGTATCACACAAGAATGCCTAGAATATGTTAGCAAACCACAGAAAGAGGCTTGTTGTACACACTCAGCCCCAATGTGTTTTGGATTTTGAAGGCCAGGCACCACCCACCATTCAAAAGATCCCTAACTCAGGTTTTAGTGCAACCCACTGCATGTCCCAGCTGACATGTAAGAATTTATACCAAACAGCAAATGCAGTTGCTAAGTATCAGGCCAAATCACTTGGAAATCCCTTGAGAGAAAGGTTCAGTTACTAATTTTATGTCCTGCTCCATTTCTTAATTTGCTAAATGCTGGAATCGAGGAGGAAGATGGATCTGGGATTTTGGCTGCTGGGTTCATGTCCAAATCATAGTTTAATGCCTTGCTCAAGATTTACATTTAAAAAATAAATTGAGAAAGGGGCATAACTCATATTTAGGGATTCTTGGTTCTTGGCATGTTGTTGTTTTGGTGTCTGTTCATCCACCAAGAGTTCCCAGCTGAGGTGAAGATGCACAGCCTGCCCTGCTGGGTCACACAGGGAGCTCACCTACCTCAGGGTCTTGTGTTTGTCACTGGGCAAGGACAGATGCCTAAAAACAACAGGGTGAACATGTCACAATGCTTCCCCAAAAGTCTTTACCACTCTCTAGCTCTTTGGGGCTCAGAGGCATCCAGAAGTGGTGTCTTTACTTTTAATATCCCTGGATGGTAATAGCTCACCTCTTCCAGATGCTTTGCATGTAAATATGAGGCAGATTGTGCCCTGGGGAAGGAACAGGCTATGTCAGTGTGAAAAGAGAAAAGGTGGAGTAGTTTCCCAACATCAGGCCCCAGGTTGACAGTGTAGACAGGAAAACATCCCATAATCCTGGAGTTATGGAAGGCAGGGGCAAATCTGCTTTTGCTGTGGATGGGCTTGGACTGCCCAGAGATGTACAGCACCAACTGGGTCACTTGGATTGCAAACCAGAGTCAGGACAATTTGGAGAGCTGCTCCCAGTCCATAGCAGACCCTGGCAGAGCTGTGGAACCAGAATCTGAGACCCAAGGTGGGACATTTCCATGTGCAAAGGAACATTTTTTGTCCCTTAAAGCCAATCTCCTGCTATGACAGCAATCTAGGGAACTCGTGGTGTGTAACCAAGCTGGCCAGTGCCCTCTGTGTGCAGGGGACCTGAAGGCTGACCCAGAACAAAGGCCCAGCACCAAATCCCTGCTCAGTCAATGTCAACCCCAGTGGTCAATGACAGATGTGATGGAGAAAAAGCAAAAGGCACATGTATTCTCCTGGTATACCTCCCAAGCTTTAGTTGTAGGGAAAAGAGGAATAAAATACATCCTAAGTGTCCTAAACCATAGGACTTCAGACATAATGTTCACCCTTTGGGAATGTGTGGGCGACATTATTGTATATTTGTGGTTTTAAACACAGTTAAACTTATTTACTTCAGAGCACAAAGGAAAACCAAACTGTTTGTGGAGAACAAACCAGGAAACTTGCTTAACTCTCCCCAGCTCTCTGTAACAATGGACCATAAATAGGTCAGACGTTTCTTGGGAACCAGGGAAGATGAGTATTGGAAAATGCCACAAATTATGTTTAAAGAACATTAAAGTGGTGACAGACCAGTAAATGCTGGGAAATTCAAAGATACAACCAGAAGCTGCCTGTATAGCTCATGCCAGAATGGGGGTGAGGGATGCAGGCTCATTCTGATGTAGTAAGATGAGCCTGTTAACCTTTACTACTAAAATCCTTGGCTGTTTTTACAAATATTTTTTTCCCAAAAATGCCATAAATTTTTTCTCATCTTGCCAGTTCACCCAGTTAACCAGAACCACTCAAGGATGGGATTTATCTCAGTTATGTTTGGCTGCTTACAGTTGAGCAAATAGTCTAAGCTTGTCATGTTGGTTCAGTGGAGAAGGGTTGGAGCTTCCAAGGATGGCTCATCCCAACATGAGAGGAGTCTGAAGCACTAGAAATCAATTGCTGCTTGGCACTGCCTTCTGCCTCTGCTGGCTTTTTAGGGCATGGAGAGAATTGGCCTGGACTTTTAGGCTTTGGTCAGCTCAATTGTAAGACAGCTCAGTTTAAGTTAAAGCATTCCGTGGAAGTTTGGGGTTTGGTTTTGGTTTTTGTTTTAATTTTTAGGGTTTTCTCCCCCAAATTGATAGAGTGAGCAATTTAGAAAAAAAAAAAAAAAAAAGGCAGGTTTCTTTTAAAAGTAAGTGAGTTTGTAAACCACATTATTCCAAAGCAGAGCCTGAAAACATACTTTTGGAGCTCCCAAACAAGACATCAACCCCTACATGATAATTTCTAAAATGACATGTGGCTTCTGACTTCTGTGGATCTGAATAACTTTTGGAGCATTTGATGCTGGTAGTTTTGGTTTTAATGTTCAACTTGATTTAATATTAATTTTCTTATTTTAAATATGGAGAGCTCCCTACTGTGTGTGCCATTTCCCTCTGTAGCACAGATGGCTCTCAGACAGATATTACTCTCCTTCTGTGCTCTTTTTTAGTCCCGTGCCCTAAACAAAGAACTGGATCAAAGTCTGGGGTTTTTTTTTGGTAGGGCCTTACTACAATGCTGAAACATTTGGTTCCTAGTAAAAATAAGAACAAAATAAGCTTTTTATTAAAAAAACCAAACTATTGAAATTTATTCCTTAATCCAGGAGATGATTGGACCAAGAACATAGAGCAGTTGACTGCATGGGGTGCTCACACTTTGCTCATAACCTGTCAAGCCAGGTTATGGTCTTGGTTTTTTTTGCCTCTCTAGAGGGGCATTAATGTGCCACAGGCAGAGAAGGATTATCCATGTGCCAGAGCTGTATCTTGGTTGTTGGACACAATCATGTCATCTTTTCTCTGGACCTCTTTTTCCTGGGGAAGTACAATGAATGAGAAGAGGTGATGATCACCATTTTGGTGATGGGGAAGACAATGCTGTAGTTTCTGAGAGCAGCAGAGATTTGGGTTAATCTTGCTCTGAATTAGTGAACTCCTAGATGGCTCTGCTACTAATTTCAGGGACCACATTTTAAATCCAGTCCAGAATCCTGAAAAAGCAAAAATGGTCTAGAGCCTGGAAAGTGCAGCACTGACCCGCCCCAACCTTTGTGCCAATAGGATCAGAATCCCCTGCCCTAATAAAAAGAAAGTCAAGTTTATCTACTTATTTCTGTATAAATCCACACCTGAAGAAGCCCTCTCAGTGAAGGCAGACTGGAAGTGATGGTTAGATGGTTTTCTTTGGTTACATCATTTTTGAGTGCTTTCATAATTTTGAAGAAAAGATCTAGCATCCTTTAGAAGCCAAGATTTACATTCCTACGGGAATCAGTTACACCTCCGCAAAATGAACAGAAAATTTAAACAGCAGCACAAGGTGTTTTTCCAGTGTACAGATGTCAGCTGGGGACTGGAGTATTTAAAACCTTGGACTTGTGCTGTGCCATGTTCACACGTGTAATTATGTGTCTTTTATGGATCTGATTTGTTGGACGCTGTCATGACCCCAGAATTCATCTGAGCACACGTGGGTGTCCTGCTGCTCTAGGCTGGAGTTATTGCATTACACCAGGGCTGATGCTTGTACTAGGAAGCAAGTGCCTGCCATGTATGAAAACAGGAATAATGCTGTTACAAGTATGCTTGTAAATATTGTGGTCACTGCCTTTTTGTGTGGGTTACATCAAGATTGTATTCAAACACTGACAGGTTAATTACATGTTTCAAAGCTTTTTTACTGTGATCTGAGAGGAAAGTGTTATTAAAGAAGTGTTCAGCATCTAACAGTGCTTGTTTTCTCTTTCTCCTCCCTTCCCAATGTTTTCTCTAGCTGATTACTCCACATGCCATCCGTGTACAGACGCCTCCCCGACACATCCCAGGGGTTGTAGAAGTCACATTGTCCTACAAGTCTAAGCAGTTTTGCAAGGGAACGCCTGGAAGATTCATTTACACAGGTATGGATGCTTTAAATGTAAGGGGGAAAAATAGGGCAGGCAATATATCACCCTTGCTAGGGCTTCTGCTTTTGTCAGTAAAAGCTGTGCTGCATCTTATTATTCTGGCTGAGGATGTCACTGAAGGCATCAGTTTGAGGTTGGACTCAGAGCTGGGGATTGTAGGGATGAATCTGAAAGCACACCAGGGTGGGATTTTTGTTTGCTTGTTTGTCCTTGTGTTGGGACATCTCTTTACCCAGGAGGGGAGAGGAAGGAAGGAAGGAAGCAGATACTCCAGCACTTAACCAAACAGAGGAGGAGTGCAAGCACAAGGAGCCAGACACACAGACCTGCCTTGAGAAGGATCCTGCTAAACATCTCCATCTCATGCTGTCCAGCAGGTGTTGCAAGGGTTCAAAGCCTGTTTGCCAGCCCATCTCACCATAACTCACTTGTCTCTGGCTTCCAGGGAGCTCAAGTAGCTCTCAGCACAGTCAGTGCTGCAGACACAGCAACTTGCAGTGTGCTTTGGGGTGGTCTCCCACACTGGAGACCACTAAGTTGAGTGATTTGGCCTCAAAAAAACTAACAAAAAAATCTCCAATACACTCTGGAACATTGCAGGTGCTGTCAGTGTCAAAGCACTCTCAGTAGTTATAAGGATGGCCTAGGATATAAATCAAGTAGCAGCCTAACTTTTTAAAAAGGATGTGAGTTGTTGGTTCCTCTGAAGGTGTGTGCTACAGGAATTAACAGCTTTGCCCTGGTTTAGATGTGCATTTCATGAACTTCTTGTACTTCACATCTACAGACACGACTATGCTGGAGCTGTTTGCCTGAACTGTGGTTCAGCACAACCCAGTACAATTCATTTCCTCATCCTCAATTGCCCCTGGAACTTTAGGATATATCATGAATATTTGTGACTAAGCCATTATGAGTTCCACTGGGCTCACACATTGCTCCAGCTCTCAGTGTACACACATGGACTGGAGGCAGAGGAGAGAATTCTGTGCTCCAGCTGGGCAGGAAACTCTCATTTGAATTTTGTTAACACTAAGCAAGCTGAACAAAGGTGCCTTATGATTCTTTCTTATCTTTTTCAAATACCCTCTCCTGCAGATGAGATTATGCACTGGATTTTTTTTTTAAACTGGCTCTTAAAATGCTCACATATTGCCCTGCTGGCTGAGCAGCAGGCATTGTGGAGGCTGTGTGTGTTTATTTGGGAGCACTATGATTTCAGTAACGTGTGGGAAATCCATATATTGGACAATAACACACCATATCAAAAAATGAATTAGAGTTTTGAATGTGTTGGAACAAAAGGAATAGCAAAGGTCAAATTTATGGCTGGTGCAAATTGATGGTGTGAACCATGACAGGAGGGTGTTGCCCAGAGCTGTGGGTTGTTTGAGGTGAATCCTTTCCCTCCTCTCTTTCTTGCAAGAAGTTGTGCTGTCCTGTCTTTTGTCACCCCACTGGGGTGGCTGCCCCAGGGGCTGGTGAAATGGCAGATGTGGATATGGAAGGGAAACAAAAGGGAAAACCTGCTCCCCTTAATTTTGCAAAGAAATTTTTGATGACTTCTTTAAATGTAAAAATGGGCTGGACCCATTTTGGGGTTGCTTTTCAGATCATCATTAATTAGCTTTCCAGCAAAAAGGAGGGCAGCAGTTTAGCTTGTCTGCCCAAAAGCAGATGGCTGAATGTGGAAATAAAGTGTCCCAGTAGGGAGAGTGTTTCCTTGTATCCATTTTCTTGTTGGTGTTTAAAACACAGCATTTTTCATCAGTAAATGTAAGTTATGAAATACTGAACAATAATGATAAAATCAAAGGTGATCCAGTCCATGGATAATTCTCTCTTGCAGTTACTTACAGAGTTACAATAGATACAGAAAAGATGTTGTGACTGAAATCCTACCTCACGCAATTTGCATTTTCCTTTTAGACCCAGCCTGAACTTAAATGTAGCTTTTTAAAAAGGACTAAATGAAACTAAAATAAAAACAATTAATGCATCCTGACCTTCAGAAGTGCCTTCCAGCCCTTTAAACAAAATGCAGGTTCAGTACATGCCTGACGATTAGTTTTAGTTAATTGAAAATTATAGGATTGACCCAAGAGGAAAATTTTGTTTGCACTCCAATCACTTTTACAAATTAAGGAAAATTACCACAATTTTGTTTAGCTAAGGTTTCACACTGAGTTCACGAAATTAGCTCAGCCATCCCAACAAAGTCAGCACTTTGTTAGTGAGCACTAGAAAAAAACTAATAGTCTATGGTGTGTACAAACGAAGCATAGAAAAAGCTATGATGCTTTAGAGAACTAGGCCAAGTGGTTTTAATTAGGATTATTGGTTCATTGTAAGTTTTGAAGAACAATCAAACTAGCAGATTAGCTGTTTCTTTTAAAGCTAGAATTTCTTGCCATTCATTTTTCCCATGAGAACTTGTTTTAACTCCCACATAGCACTATTTTTTCTTTTTTTTTTCTTTTTTTTTTTTTTTTAACAAGGCCTGCAGGAAATGGACCAATTGGAAGTTGGGATACAGTAACATTCCCCAGCATCACTCCAGCCGATGGGAGTTTTTCACAATGTTCTTCAGTGAACTCAGTGTTCTGGAACATATTACAAAACCACAGAGGCCAAATGTTTTCTCAGAGGAGTTTGGCCTCTGTTTTTGGCCGAAAACATTTCAGCATCACTTGCTGCTTATTTACCCTGCTATTAGGAACAAGGAAAGGGGAGAGCAGAAAAAGCAGGGGGGGAGAAGCCAAAGAGAGGGTGTGTGAGAGAGAGAGAACAAGACCTGGGGTTTGTGGGCGGTGCAGGAGTTGATCAAGCGTAGTTTCCTTTCTGGTGAGAATGTCCCTGCTCGTTAATGGTCCCATTTTGTGGTCAGGTCTCATTTAGAAGAAATTATTTTTAATCAGTGTTCAACAAAATATCCCCTCAAGCCACCTGGCTGTAAACTGTTTTTTTCTTACTGTTAAGTAGTTAAGTTCTCAGAAGAAAATACCCAGTGACCCATTAATTTTAGCCTTTTTTTCCTCTTTAACTGCAAATAACTTAGTAATATGATCCCTAAGTAACCCATGTGCCATCTAGGAATCAAGGTCGCATATATACAGAAAAATCCTGGCTTTTGTGCATATTTCTGAAAGAAATAAACCAGTGTCACCCTGTGCTTACAAGAAAACATAAGTTTTTTATTTTCCATCTGCAGAGTGAGCCATTAGCATGCACTTAGAGAGCAATTATTTCTTAGATTTTAAGCTTTGACATTCCTGAGAGAATGTTATTAGAAATACAGAAGTCTGAACACACCTTGGATGTGTGTTCATTTTGGAATAATATTAAAAATCCATATTACACACAGAAATACCCAGACATGCACTGTTCATCTCCAAGTCTCTTCTGGCACTGAAGAGCACTGAATGAATTCAGCTTTGTGTCACAACTTAGGAGTCAAGTGTGTGTCACTACCATTGTTTTAGGACTGGAGAAACTGAGATAAAGGAAGAGGTTAGAGGTACAAATCCATAGGTTGTTTGGGAAGGTGACTCAGGGCATATATGGTTGACTTAAATAAAAAATGAGAGTTGGCACAAATTTGTGATACCCAGACAGGCCTTTGAGATTTTGTTTGGGTTTGTTTTAATTTAAAAAAATGGATGCACCATGGACAACATGAATTTCACAGATGACTTTTGCAGTGGTACTAAGCTGCAAGGTTTGAGTGGGGCTGCATGTCTGTAAGTGAGATGAGGATTTATCTCACTGCATATTGGAAAGGACATATGGAGGGGCCATAAAAATGCATTATGCTGTGTCTTCTACCACCTGCTCAGTTTAAGATTTTGTGCTTTTTTTTCCCAAAACAGAGCAAAGGACTTCCTAGAGGCCAGAAGTACAGAGCTGTGTCACTGAGGTTGTGTGCAACATGAGTTAATTCAGATTCTTGGCTGAGCAGTACCCCAAACACTGCTCCTCCTTTTGGAAATAGGTTACATGCTTGGGTAAAGGTTGGAATTTAGAGACCATTTTAATTGACATTAGGCTTGCAGGGAGGCTGTGGGCTGAACCCTTTGTGTGCTGACAGGGCTCCAAGAGGAGCAGGCAAGTCCCCCCTGGTCCATTTGGGGTTTGTTGTGTGCTCTGGGGTGGGATTGCTGCTGATGGGAATGGTTGGATGGGGGATGAGTGTAAGCACACAGGGCTGGGAATCACGCCCATGCTGAGCTCTGGTCCTGCAGGGTAACCGTGGCAAAGGCTGAGCAGGACAGAGTGGACACTGCCAGGAGTGACCAGTGTTCATGTTACACTGTTAGGCCACTGCGTGTGGGGAGATGTGGAAATCCTGGAGCTGTGAAGGTCAGGGTATTCACAGAATTTCTGGGAAACTGCGTCTGTCTCTGAAATGTCACAGGGCTTCTCAGGGAGTTTTCCACTCCCCTGTTTGCTACAAAGAAGAAATGGTCTCTTGGAAAATTCTTCTGAAAACATTTGAGTCTGTGTACAAAGTGGAAGGGCCTTGCAGATCACAGATGATTTGGGTAACATTTCCAAAATTTCTGTTTTAGGTGATTTAATTTTCAGATTTTTAATTTTAGGCATTTGTATTTACAGAAGCACAGGAGTAGCTGTCTTCTGAGAATCATTCTCTTTTCATTTTTTGAAGTCAAATTTAATTCAAGAGTAAGAGCCCAAAACTACCTGTTACTATCTAAAACTTCAGTCCATGGTCTGGAAGCAGAGGTTGGAGTCACTTACAGAGATCTGATCAGAACTGGAACCACTTAAAAGCTGATCTTGAGTGCTTTAAGTTTCCAACCTGGTAAATTTCAGTGATTTCCTTTGCTAGGAAATTTTTTTCTTTTCAAGAAAGCACCTATAACTGTGCAAAGTTCAAAAGGAACATAATCAATGAAACAATCAGTTTTCAGAATGGAGAGTTCTGGAGTTTGTAGACTAAAGAAACAAACATAAAAAAAAAAAAAAAAAAAGAG